TGAGGTTGCTGTGAGCTAGGCTGACGCCACGGCACTCACTCTAGCCTGGGCAACAAAGCGAGACTCTGTCTCAAAAAAAAAAAAAAAAAAAGAAAAGAAATAATATAGATTTAAAATATGGAATATTCTCTAATTTTCCTATCCAAAGTTTTTAGATCTATTTGGTCACAGAACAAAGATTAAAAAGAACAACCATATGATTCAAATAACTTTTTAAAAAATAATCTTTATTTTTTTGCTCATGTAAAAAAACACATGGTTGGTTTTGCCTAACCAGAGCCCTCTACCTCTTTTGTTTTGTTTTTATTAAGCTCTTCAACTCCATATTATTACACTGGTATTTTCAATCACAGTTATGCCTCCCTCCCCAACCTCAGAGATGGACCACTGATTAGTTGGGAGAAGAGGGGAGAAGCAAAAAATGGTTGATAAGAAGGGATAGAACCAGGCATGGTAGCTCACTCCTGTAATCTCAAGAGACTCAGGAGACTGAAACAGGATTACTTGAAGCCAGGGGTTAGAGACCACCCTGGGAAACATAGCAAGACCCCCATCTCAAAAAAACTTTTTTGTTTTAATGAGCCAGGCATGGTGGCGAGCACCTGTAGTCCCAGCTATTCAGGAAGAGGCTGAGGCAGGAGGATTGCTTGAGCCCAGGAGTTTAAGGCTGCAGTGAGTTATGACTGTGCCACTGCACTCCAGCCTGAGCAACAGAGTAAGACCCCATTCCCTTTATAAAACAAAAAAGGGAGGGTTTATCATTTGTGGTATTGGGTTGTAATAAGAGTAAAGTTGGGGGGGGGTGTAAATATGGGCTTTGAGAGAGAGGATACTCTTTTTAACTGCTAGCTTTAAGAATATAAGCCTAGCTTTTCCACTCTGCAGAACTGAAACATGGAAGGAGATAGCAGCAAGTCCCTATGACATCATCTAAATTCCTAGAAGTAGCCATGCCTGGAACTAGTGCCACAATTTGGCTTTCCCAATTACATGGGCCAATAAATTCCCTACCCCTCTGTGCCTTTTGCTCATCTGAGTTGTTGTTGTGGCTATAAACCCTGAAAGTTGCATTCAATTTCAGGAGGACAAAAGCAACATAACATAGAATCACAGATTTTAGATCTGGAGTATTTTTTCCCTATTATATCCCCATCACCAAGATAGGCACCTGGTACATGGCAGAAGTTCAATTATTATTTTTCAATGAAGTATGAGATCATAGAGATCACTGAGCCTCAGAGAAGTTAAGTCAAAATGTTTGCTGGTAGCAGAGCCAAGACACCTGTCTTGGTTGTGCTACTGGCTCTATTAGCAGCCCTTTTTACTGTATGTACTAACATGAAGAAATAGTCACTTGTTAAATCCAAAAGACAGTGAAACTTACTGCTTTTCATTTCTTTCCCAAAACTAGGCCTAAAAATCCTTACTCTGCTATAGCAATTCAGCTAGAGAAGACACAAGACACTACTGCTATGCAAGCCTTAAGGCTCTGGCACTCACCTCGGGCACACATCCTTGAACTACATTCAAACCGGATTCTCTAGAAATACTAGAAGCTACAATTTTATCTTGGCATTTTGCTATCTTGCAAGTCTATTTATTAAAGTTTAAGAAACTTAAAATTTCACCTCATCAGCAAACAATTAATATTATGATCTGCCTGTTTATTCACCAGCAGAATGTAGTAAAAGAAAAACTTAAAAATCTCTAAAACAAATTAGCACCAGCCTGAGCAAGAGCGAGACCCCGTCTCTACTAAAAACAGAAAGAAATTATATGGCCAACTAAAAATATATAGAAAAAACTAGCCGGGCATGGTGGCGCATGCCTGTCATCCCAGCTACTCAGGAGGCTGAGGCAGGAGGATTGCTGGAATCCAGGAGTTAGTTTGAGGTTGCCGTGAGATAGGCTAATGCCACGGCACTTACTCTAGCCTGGGCAACAAAGTGAGACTCTGTCTCAAAAAAAACACAAAAAACAAATTAGCGATCGATTATCCCAATTCAATTCCTGAAGTGGTTCTGCCAAGTGAAGCTCTAATATTTGGAAGCCAAGCTGCCTTAGAAGTAAGGAGCTATAGAAACTCACTATTAATATGATCTTAAAGGTCATGCCTACTACATTTAAGGACACTATTTACTCCACAAGAATAAATAATAAATAAAATAACTATATAATACATGGCACACACCTCTCTAAGCAACCCTTGTTTAGCAGTATAGCTCAGTGAATCTGAAAAACCCTGGAAGCTTTTGCTCTATAAAAAGTAAGTGCTGGGTGCGGTGGCTCACGCCTATAATCCTAGCACTCTGGGAGGCCAAGGCAGGAGGATCACTCAAGGTCAGGAGTTTGAAACCAGCCTGAGGAAGAGTGAGATCTCATCTCTACTACAAATAGAAAGAAATTAATTGGCCAACTAAAAATATATATCGAAAAAAATCAGCCAGGCATGGTGGCACATGCCTGTAGTCCCAGCTACTTGGGAGGCTGAGGCAGAAGGATTGCTCTGAGCCCAGGAGTTTAAGAGTTCGAGACCAGACTGCTGTGAGCTAGGCTTATGTCATGGCACTCTAGCCCCAGCAACAGAGTGAGACTCTGCCTCAAAAAAAAAAAAAAGTGCCAGAAAACATAAATTTAAAGGGTGTCTTATTTCTCATATCCAAAGAACTCTCTCTTCATACCTTCAAACATCATGATCATTCACATTGATCCATTCATCTTTAAGAGCATTTGTAGAACCACAAAGCTTTTCTTAAATACTCATTTTCCTCTTTAAATCTAGTCAATATATTATTAAAGCACTCGAGGAAACTTAACCATAAAAAGCCAAACAATGTAAATCTTCGCAGTCTTACTTTGTAGTTTACCAACTTCCAACTAGAGTTGAAAAGACTGCCTATCATTGTACCTAATCTACATTTACTTTAATAGTCTAATCACAAAAGTAATTCTTCTTTGGGCTGAAGGACCACTGAGGTGTTGTCAAGTAGATGAATCATCGTATTTCTGTATGAACAATAGATGGTAAATATCTATCCAGGTAATGCCTATCCTAATAATAAAATTTTATTATATACAAGTATCCATAGTTACATTGATTTCAAAATAGTACCCAAAACTACATGATGAAAAAAATGTTTAAAAACAAGAAACAAAAACCTTCCTTAGATTTTTTTTTTTTTTTTTAAGACAGGATCTATCGCTCTGTTTCCTGAGCTAAAGTGCAGTGGCATCATCATAGCTCACTGCAACCTCAAACTCCTGGGCTCAGGTGATCCTCTTGCCTCAGCCTCCTGAGCAGCTGGGACTACTCGAGCCACCATACCTGCTTATTTTTCTATTTTTTTTGTAGAGATGGGTCTCACTCTGGCTCAGGCTGGTCTCAAACTCCTGGCCTCAAGCAATCCTGTCCTCAGCTTCCCAAAGTGGTAGACTTACAGTCATGATTCACTGTGCCCAGCCCTTCCTTAGATTTCATTGTACAATATTGGTTCTGTCAAATAAAAGCAATTAGCCCTTTCCTAAGAAATATACAACAGTAAGATAAAACTTAAGAATTTGTAACTCAATCTGCGTATATTATTGCTTGATAACTTAAAAGCTGCATTAGTCACTGAACTACTGCTTCAGATAAGAATGGTATGTAGTTCAACTTTAATATTTTCCAGACTAAGAGAACTCAGAGTAGTAGCTAACTGACTTTCTCAAGCTCACATAAATTTATGCTAGCAAATCCTGCTCAATCCTATTTCCACTGCTCTTTACAATTCACTTTGGATATATCATGTATTATTTTCTTTCCAATATCCAAAACAAAATAGTATTATTAGTTTTATGCCTTGTCTGTTTTCAAAAACAAATTTTTATAAACTGATTCAAGTATCTTTTCAAGACATTTCAAGCCGCTGCATAAAAACCCAAACAAGACTTCTGACAAAGGATCAAATACACCTAAGTATCAGCTATATTATTCCTGTTTCCAACTTCCACAAAGGTTGGCTTTGAACTGAAATTTAAAAAATGCATTTCCTTTATTCATACTTCCAGGCTACATTTTGAATATTTCAAATAGCTAGACACAAAAATCTAAAGTAATAGCTAACCATAAGGAAACTTTTTAGTGGGAGAAAAAGTTCCTTAAATGTGTTAGAAACTGACTCGTCACATTCTTGTAATTGGAAACTCTTAACCCTGGGTACTGTACCAACCATCATGTTTTTTTTTTGAGACAGAGTCTCACTCTGTTGCCCCGGAGTGCCATGGCGTCAGCCTAGCCCACAGCAACTTCACTCCTGGGCTCAAGCAATCCTACTGCCTCAGCCTTCCGAGTAGCTGGGACTACAGGCATGTGCCACCATGCCCAGCTAATTTCATATATATATATATATATATATATGTTGTCCAGCTAATTTCTTTCTATTTTTAGTAGAGACGGGGGTCTCGCTATTGCTCAGGCTGGTCTCGAACTCCTGAGCTCAAAGGATCCGCCCGCGTTGGCCTCCCAGAGTGCTAGAATTACAGGCATGAGCTACAGCGCTCGGCCTCCAACCAGAATTTTTTACATAAAAATTCAAACAGCTAAAAAAGGCTTCTAATTTGCGTCCTGTAGAAGGTGAAAAACATTTAAATCTAATACTAGAAAAGTGTACAACTTCGTAAATTGCCGTTAAAGTTTGCTGAATTAACCACAATTCAAATGTGTTAAATGTTTAAAAAACACCGAAGTCATTAAACAGCGTAAGTGCACCAAAAAAGGGCAAAAACTTTTGCTTTGTTTTGTTTCCTTAAAGTCTCCATCCCACTGAAGCTGGAGAAGACTACTTGGTGTGGATAAAATGATTTTCACGTTCCGTCTGACTCCAGCTAACATTTTTGGTAAGAGTAAGACAAGACTCCGGGAATGTATGCGTAATGCAGCCCTGAGTTCAGTTCTTCCTTTCGTGGGGTAAACAGGGAGGGAATAAACTGCCGATGAAGAACTGAAGTAATTTTAAGATTTGTTTTACTTGAAGGCAGGGGTGTACTAACACCTGCGGACTCATTTTTGTAACCGAAGAGGTAAAAGTACTGAGCAATCATTACAAAACTGGGTAGCAAAGCACGCACGCCATGCTTGCAAAGACTAAATTTTTTAAAATTAAACCTTCCAAGGCACTAGGAACTAGGGAGTACGCGCCAGGGCATAATATGTTATTTAACTGGCTCTCCACAGGACCGAGGCGAAGAGATTCATTCCTCAGAGGAACCGAGGCGACCATCCTGCGATGGTGACCGGCGCGAGGGCGAGGCGGGCAGCCGGGCCGCAGGCAGCGGGCGGTCCGGACGCTGGCCCCGAGCCCGAGGAGTTAAACTAACAAAGAGCTCAGCGCCCCCCGGAGCGGAAGCTACGCCTCCCCGGGCCCCCGCCCCGCGACCCTCCCCAAGTTCAGGGCCCGGCGGCCGACTCGCTGCGGGGCCTGCAGCCGGGCCGGGCCGGGCCGGCAATCGGGTTGCGGGAAACAGGTAGAGAGGCAAGACTAGAAGCCCCAAAGGGAAGAGAGGGCACTTCCCGACCGGGTCAGCGCAGCGGAAAAGGTAAACGCAGCGGGCGAGAAGCCCTGCTGCCCGGCCCTGCTTCCCGGGGAGCCGCCAGGCACAGCGGACGGGGCGCCGCGCTTTGTTACCGGCTGTGAGAAGCTCCGGCCGCCGCCGCTGCCATCGCCCCCGCCCCGGGGCGTCGCTTCCCGGCGGTTTTCGCCTTCCTCAGCCGAGTAGTCGATCTCCCCTTCCTCGGTCTTGAGGCGCTTGGCCTGGCTCTCATACTCCCGGTCCTCCTCGTACGTCTCCCTGGGGGAAGAGGAGGAGGAGGACATGGCGGCGGCCGGAGGGACCGGCGGGCAGACGGATGGTGGTGGCGGTGGGGTGCGGGCCTTGGATGCCGCCGGCTAGTCCCCGCTGCGGGCAGCGCCTCTTCAGCTAAGGTCTCCGCTGCCGGGCGGTCCGCGGGGGCCGCGCGCCCAGGAGCCAGGTGGCTGAGGAGTCCTAGGGCCTGAGGGGGTCGCCCCAGGAGGAGGCTCCGGAGCGGCCGCTCCCCTTTATTACCGAGCCAACATTCAGCCTCTCCCTCCTCCGTCTCCTCTCCGAGCCCGAGGGAGCGAATCTAAGGATGGGGACGCGACCGTGGCTTCCGGTCTTCCCTCCTCCCCTAATCCGCTCCCCGCCGCCCAGGCCGAGCCTCCGCCCCCGCCTTAGCGGCTGCCGCGCAGGATCAAATCCAGCCGCAGCCCGCGGGAAGCGCCCCCTCCCAGCCTGGATCCTGCTCCCTATTGGCAGGGGAAAAGTCGACCAGGCTTCTAATTGGCTGTGAGGGGTGCTCGTCAAAAACCGCCCGCGGCCGGGCTTCGTCTCCCCGCCGGCGCCTTCCGAACTCTGGGCTGGCCTGTGAGCCCCAGCCGCGCAACGCCCGCCGCGCGTCGCCGGGAGCGGTTGCAACCGTTGGCGTTGTAAGGCTCCTGCCCAAGGCCAGGCTCGGCGTGAACCCGGTCGGGCGCTTAAGCGTGCAGTGGCTCCGGGGCTGCGGGTGTTAACCGCCCTCCCGCTAATTTAAATGCTTTTATTCTCTTCAAAAGAGGATGAGGAAAACCTCTAAAATCCCTGCAGACATCCCACAGAGCCCTAAAACTGCAAGGGATGAGGGGAGAAAAGGGTTTGGAACCATGAAATTAATTAGCCTTCCCACTGTGTTGTGTGCAAAGTGTAATACAAGTGGGTGGACTCTCCCGCCCCTGACTAGATATTCGAGAACAGCTGTCAACATTTGTTGAGTGGCAGCGAGGTGCAAGTCCGTAGGAGACGCTCTGTGCAGGCGCATGTCAGTTTGAGCGGTTATCGCTCGCTGGCAGTCTGGGCCCTTTACGGGCGGCATGAGGGACTTGTCTGTGAAGCCCCTGCTCCAGTTAAATATGTTTTAAACCTTCCATGTAAAATTTCATCCTTCATCTCAATTGTTTCTCTTGTGGACAATCCATTTCACTTTATCATTTATTTTGGAGAGATACGAACGCCTGTCAAAATTCTGTTTGTCCCGCGGACCACAGCTCACTTCCTCTGTGGCGTCCTAGGGACTCCTCCAAGATTTTAGTTGCTGCGTTCTCTTTTTGCAACAGGGCCCTTTATACTTACCTCGTTTTTTTTTTTTTTTTTTTTTTGTTTGTTTGTGTTTTTTTTTTGGAGACAGAGTCTCACTTTGTTGCCCAGGCTAGAGTGAGTGCCATGGCGTCAGCCTAGCTCACAGCAGCAACCTCAAACTCCTGGGCTCAAGCGATCCTGCTGCCTCAGCCTCCCGAGTAGCTGGGACTACAGGCATGCGCCACCATGCCCGGCTAATTTTTTCTATGTATATTAGTTGGCCAGTTAATTTCTTTCTACTTATAGTAGAGATTAGACGGGGTCTCACTCTTGTTCAGGTTGGTTTCTAACTCCTGAACTCAAACGATCCACCCGCCTCGGCCTCCCAGAAAGCTTGGATTACAGGCGTCAGCCACCGCGCCTGGCCCTATACTTACCTCTTAAGATGTTCTGTTTTAAATACTAGGAGCGCTTGGGGACAGGAACTGTACACTTTTCATCTTGTAAACCTAGTCCCTGTACAATCTCCGGCACAATTTAGGTGCTCAGAAATGTTGAATGAGTTGTCCTGGGGAAATAAAGGTCCAGTATATCTTTCAGAAAAGAAACTGGCAAATCTAAGGCAACCTAACTGCCCTCTGTTACCCCTTGTAAGATTGCCAGAGATAGAGTCTCTGTGTTTCTGTTGTCCTTGTCTCTCAGATGCTTCCCTAAATGTGGCCCTTTCTTTCCTAATGGTGTGGATTGTTTCTTCCTCCAGCCGTCCTCTCCTTTCGGAAGTTATTTCCTCCCAAAAAGCTATTTTTATTTATTGCTGACAATGCTTTCGCATACACTGTTTTGTACTTTGTAATTTGCATTGCCTGTCATTTTGGAATCCAACTACAAGATTTTCCACAGCACAGTACAGTTATAATCAAATTTGTTTGTGGCTGCAGGTGTACATTGACTAAACTAGAAAATATTTGAATTTTATTTCTTGGATTAAAATAAAGTTTTAATACTTCCGTATCAAAAAGGGAGCTGCAGAGCTGACTACAGATGAGAAAATGTCATCAGCAGAAAATGCTGCAATGGTTTGGGAAAGTAAATAGCAACAAGGGAAACAATTATACAATTCTGTTTAAAGTTGTTTCATTGATTCAGATGTCTCCTAACATATTCATACAAAGACATTGCCTGGCCTTCAGAATGCTGAAGACAGGAAGAATGCTGAGTTCTAAAAAAACCTAGTTTAGGGCTGGATGTGGTGCCTCATTCCTGTAATTCTAGCACTTTGGGAGGCCTAAGCAGAAGGATTACTTGAGGTCAATTTGAGACCATCCTGAGCAAGAGCTAGACCCAGACTCTACAAAAAATACAAAAATGAGCCAGGCGTGGTGGGGCGCCCCTGTAGTCCCAGCTACTCAGGAGGATCACTTGAGCCCAGGAGTTTGAGGTTGCAGTGAGCCATGATGACGCCACTGCATCTAGCCTGGGTGACAGAGTGTGACCCTGTTGGAAAAGAAAAAAAAACAAAACTATGTATGTGTTATCTTTAGAATCCAGTGTGCATTTTATAATAGTTTCAGCAGCCTCAAAGATCAGGAAAGGATGAGTGAATTAGTAAACTTGCTTACAAAGGAAACATTTTTGATGGAGTGAGATAGGTCATTCCCAAGATATTTTTAATCTACCCAAATTAAAAGAGACAGAAAAAAGTTGGGAGCTTAAAACTCTGAATTGTTTTTCTTTAGGAAAAATGAAACAATAGAATGTTCTGTGAACTAGTTAGGAGTGACTAGTAGCACTTACTATCTTTTTGTTATTAAGTATGAGCAACTACTTATTAATTTTTTTTTCTTAGAAGGAAACATTTAATAGGGATTTATGAACAGAAGCCATGTCTTGGGCAGGAGCAAGGAGAGACAAAATGGTAGATCCACACCTACTTGTTAATTTTATCTATATTTTCATATACAAGGTAAATTCAGTTTGAATAAATTCTATTGACTCCCAAATGTGAACTTATTAGGTCCTGTACGAACTTTCCAAAGATTACTTGTGATGGGGAAAATATTTTAAATTCTCAAAGCCCTGCATTCAGCCTATGGATTATACCAAGTTAAAATGCAACTCTCTGGCCAATATGTAAGGAAACCCAGCCTTGCTGAACCTAGGCTGCTGTACTCAGCATTGTATCACTAACAGTAGGTAAGAGTCAATATGTACCAGTATTAAACTTCATTATTTTTGTGACAATTGCAAATCAAACTGTTGAATAAAAATTATTGAAGAAGTAAAACTTTGGAAGCATTTTTAAAGGGCATCACTCAGTTCACTGACCATGGGTGATATTTGAGCTTGTTGCAGATGAGTCGTTCAGACAGGACAATAGGTTCTTTGATAAGGAAAATGCTAGCTAGCTCGTGAGAAGAGCTAAAGAGGGAGGACATAAATTATATTCTGGGGGATTTCACTTAGATAAGATAAAGAAATAACACACTGCCCAGTCACCAGAAATGCCTAAGACAATGAGAAACAACTCCTAAATGCTGTGACCATCTGGAACCTCTTGTGCATTACAGCCTCAGATCTTTGGCTAATTTTCTGAGTGCTTGATTGGATTGGCTGCTACAGACTAGACAGCAGCCAAGAGCTCCCATTTGCCACATCCCAAAGGGGATTTAGGAATTATACCATAGTGGGAGACAGGCCTAGGGAAACTGAGACTCAAGGGCCTTCATAATCTAGCCCTAAATTGCCCTTTAGTTTCAAATCTCATTACTGACCTATGTAAACTAATTTATAAGACATTGTGCTAGATGATAAGGGGACTAGAAAAATATATGAGCTGATCCCTGCCATCTTGAGACTTACAATCAACTTAAGGAGGCAAGGCACTTACTCAAGAGATAGGCTACAAGGCAAATATAAAATAATACACATGCAATAATAATAATAACCACCTATAATATGCCAGTCACTGTGGTAACAATTCTGACAGAAGCCGTCTACCAAAGGCATTATTATTATTCTGCTTGTTATGCAATTAAAGAAACAGTCTAGGGAGGTTAAGAAAACTGCCCTAGAGCCACAGTTAATAAACTAGAGAGCCAGGATTGGAACCCAAGCAATCTGGTTCCAGAGCCTGTACTCTTCATCAGAATAATGATGATTTAAATAATTGTGTTATTTAGTAATGTGGACATATAGATCTAATTTATAGTCACTTAGCATGTTACTAATTCATTCATTAATTTATACCTGGGTTTATGCAGCTGTAATTCCAGGATGGGCAAAAAAGATTATAGTTTTCACAATTGGCACTTGTATAAGGAAATTGATTTACTTCCATAGGAAATTGCAAGTATAATGCACTGTTTTGATGTTAATTTTTCCATTTCATTTTTGTAGAAAAAGCCCAGAAATTATGTGAGAAGTGTCACTATTTTCTGATGGATGCATCCTTTTAACAACCAGAGATG